AAAATTTCAACTCCACTTCTTACCTGTAGTCCCAGTCTCACTTTCTTGGTGACAGCTGTCTCAGGGAAGATGGCCTCGACATGGGGCACCAGCTTACTGGTCAGCCGGCCGCCCTCTGGACCAATCAGATCGCTCTCTTGTTGAATGCGGGAGACTACAGCAAAGTAGAGGGGAAAGTCAGTGGAGATGATCCGACGGATTCTCTTCTTCTCCAGCTCCTCTTGACTCTCCAGGTCTATGGATGGTAAGGAGTAAAGAAGAAGAAGAAAAAAGGACAGGGATTAAAACGAGGGAACACAAAGAGATGGTGGCGGTGGGGTTACTGTACTAATACAAGATTAGTTCAGACTTCCAGTCTTTACACAAGAGAGAGTGCGCTTTTGTGATGTTACTAAGACAACTTTCCTCTCTCACACTGACCTTCATCCATGCCATTCAGAATAGTTTCCAACACTTCGTCGCCATAGCGATTGCGATGCTCTTTCCAAACCGAGCCATTTTCACTGCGGAGGATCACAAGCTCTCGGTCTCCTCGGCCCAGTGAGGCAAAGTGGGGAATTTCCACTATTACTGGCCTGTGAAAGAAACAACAACCTGCTTGTACCTCTATATAGCCCACAGAGCATCATTATTTAGTTAAGAAAATACATCAATTACAAAACTAGATTTGTGCTATGAAAAATATATTTTGTATCCTTGTTAAAACATAACATCCAGTTTCTTGTATTACTTTTTGTGCTTACAAAATAACTGACAGTATCTTGCACCAGTGTCCACTAGATGGCATCATAATCATTCACCCTAGATAATGTACAGTATTTTCATTATCTTGCACAAATCCAATTAAAGTAATTCTTACAGCTTTCCTTCATTCACTATACATTGAAACAACAGGTATATTTTTCATATATAAAAATGTATAACAATTCATTTTAATGGCCTAATAGTCTTTAAGCTGTACACAAAACTACTGTACACTTCTTTACCATACTTGATGTGTTATTATCACATGCAAATCAACTATAAAGTTGACTCACCCAAGGAACTGCATGCTGGATGGCCCTAGGGAGATAATACGGCTAGCAAGCCCCTCCCCTTCTACCAGCGGAGGAGGCGTGGTCAGTTTCTGGGGTTTGACCAGGCGGCAGGTAATGCGTGTAGGTGCAGCGCAAGTTCGAGGAGGAATGATGACCCGCAGGCCGTGGTGTCTGCTGCCTCGCATGGAGCCTCCTCGAGCGTCCACCATGAAACTCACCAGGAAGCTGAGAGCCACACAGTGATACAGTGATTTAATGATAAGGTTCAGCTGGTCACTTTAGAGTTTTAACTCTATGTTATTATGATCGAGTTGCATTTAGCATTAAATAACAAGGGGCAGGGGCATAAAATTTAACAGCCAATATTGGACTTTTCCTGAGGGAATTCTTCCCTCTGAATTAGACAAAATTTGTGGTTTATTTAGAAGCATTCTGAACGGATCCAGTCTCTGTCTGTTTATGCTTTAGGCAGAGTCATTCATTAAGGAGACACAGATTCATTATGAGGGTGCCTTTTTCATTTTATTGTCAATATGGACATGCCTTCTGGAGCTGCCACTATGTGTAGCAAGAATGGCATGAAAAGACCTAAAAGTAGTTCCACACTGTTTGATAAGGCACTAGACAGGCAGCCTCCTACTGTACGTGTGTGTGTGTCTGTGTGTGTAGCAGGTTGACTCTTCTGAGTTGCCCTCCCCCCAATGGCCTCACTTTATAGTCTGTTTTTCAAATGCTGACTCATTGTGCAGTGCATAAACTGTGAGTAATCAAAAATTATTAATGAACAATATGCTGCATTAACATTACGGAGTTGTGTAAGAAAAACATTAATTAGATGCATTTCATGTATGAACAGTATGAACAAAGAGTAAACATGAGAGCAGTCAAAACAGTTAATCATCCTTGACATGTATCATTTATGTATCATCCCTTTTACAGTGCTCATTTTAATTTTAAAAAACACATCTTCTTTTTACAGTTAGCAGTATTAGCAGAAGTGAGGTTTGTGGGTAGAGTGTCTGCGGATCGGTCTTGTTTACTGATGTTTTGATGACCACATCAATCATGACAAGCGATCATAAAAGATGAAAAATGATTGTAGCATTAACTCTGCAGCCACAGATGCTACTTGTGGAGCTCTGAGTACAGTACGCCTTACCGGCTTGGAGATTTCTGTTTTCTTACTACCTCGTGAACTGTTGTCATACTAACGTGGTCATTTTTATATGATCAAAACAAGACTTGACAATATTTCTGAATGCCAAAATGACACACAGTCTTTGACTGATTTTCACATATTTCCCCCTTCATTCCATCTCCAGTGTCCTTTTATGCATTTTGTAATTTTAAACTGTTGAAATACTGGCACTCTCACTGAGTCTGCAAAAATTCCTTCTTTATAATAACCAGCATCAATGAATAACATACAATAATTTAAGTTTTATTAGCTGACCCCGTGTGAATAGGGCTGGCCACAGGGCTGACATTGTCAGACGTCTCTGTAGCTGGACTGCTTGGGATAAGAGAGTCTTCATCATACTCCTTTGGAAGGGGAACAGGGGTGTGCTGAGGTCAGAGAAAAAAGACAGGCAGTGAAAACCTGAGAGGCTGAAAAGATTAGAACAGAGAAAAGCAGAAGGGAATGAGAGCAAAACGGAGAAAGAAAACAAGGTGATAAAAGAATGAGAGCGAAACGGAGAAAGAAAACAAGGTGATAAAAATAGAGCACAATGACTGAGAGAAAATGAGGCAACAGGAAAGGAGTGAACAATGAGACAGAATTCTGTACTGTAGGTGTCTGACTGTCCCAATTGAATGTCTGCTGTAGAATAAAGTCACACATGCTTACAAAATGTAATGGAAGCACTTAATGTCATGAGTTAAGCCTACCTGATCCAGGAGAACCGTCTCTGGGGACACACACGGGATCCTGGGTATAGCGGGAGAATACGGCCTGTGGGAGAGGAAGATTGAGTAGTGCAGTACAATCCTATTTTACAGAGCAAGGAGTTTTGCAAGAGTACAAGTAGCAGCCACATGCAGATGCCCCGCAATGACCCAAACACACAATGACTTACGTGGTACCCATGCCACCCTCAAAGTCTCGTAGTGTTTTCTTAGGGGAGAGAAAGTCATCATCCTGGTCCTTGAAGTCATCAAGTTTCAAGTAGCGTGCTCCATCCATCCCAAGCAACTCGTCTCCTGGGGGGAAAATACAGAGGTCAGCAAGGCAGAAGAGGAAGAAAGAGGAAAACAGCAAAGCTTGGCAAAGAACAGGTTGCAAAGAGCACAAAGAATTAAGAGAGAAGAGGATGAGACCAGGGGAACACAGGGCAAAACAATGCTGATCTCAACTCTCAGGTTCTTTCACTCAGTCTTAAACTGAGTCAAGTAAAGTAATTGACCAATGGAAGTCACTTTCCACCGATGCCTTTTGACTTGTTTCAATATTTTTTCTCAGTGGCAGTATAATGAACTGAGGTTGACCCCTCCACCTGAATAAAAATCATGCCACTTGAGTAAAATCTCCACAATGGAAGTAGTAATTGTTCTACCGCTATCCTTCTCATCTCTTCGCCTTCATGGAACCACAAAAAAAAAATGGCCACAAAGCTTTTAGTCCAAGCAATGGAGTCAAACCAACAACAACCATAACCAATGGAAACCAAAGGAATGAAAGAAGAGGATTTGTAAGACGGTGACTATTAACACAGTTTAGGACACTGCATGGACAGCAAACTGCAAGGCACCTGGTGACAGCTTTTTTTTAGTGAGCATGCCCATTACAGATGAAATCACATGTGGTGATGGTTGTTTCTGTGTAGGAGGAAATAGCTCAATTATTAAGGAGGAATGATATTGAAATAATAATCACAACAACTACTTCACAAAACAGCCTTTACAGACGATAAAACGCTCATTAGTACAAGCTGTACATGTAAACAAAAATGTTAAAGAAGAAAAAAGCAATAAAACAAATACATCAAGAACTAAACAAATTAAAAGATGAAACTTGCAGGTGAAAATGCTCTCAAAATCAGTTTTGAAATTACATTGATTTGAGTACATTCTGAATTTCTGCAGAAACAGCAACTGTATATGCAAGAGAGAGTCGGGGGGCAGCATGTGTGGAATCAGCTTATTGATCAGTTAGGCTGTAAAAAGCGTAAGTAACAGCAATGCTGAATTGGAAGGGAGCCTGCTATCTTTTAAAATGCAGAAATACTGTCAATAATGAGTCCAAGAACAAATGTGCATTGATTGCTGGTAGAAGGAAATGTTGTGACTACATGCGGATGAAAGACACACTTTTTTAAAATAAATCTCTAAGCAGATAGGATAAGATAAAGCCAGAGAAAAGCAAACAGAGTTGGAGTTAAGTAGAAATTGATTATATAGACAATTAGAGACACACAAAGAAAACGTGAAACTGCAATTGCAATGAAGGAACATGTTAAATAGCCACTGGACCGGGCAAGGCAGAGATACAGACACAATCCTACCTAACGTAAGCTGGGCAACCCCTACAAAACAAATGAAAAAGGGTGTTATAAACAGTCATATGCATATATAAATGTATGGTGTTACTTTGATGTGTCAGTGTACCTCCTATTCAGTGTTCTTCTACCAAAATAGAGCATCAGCGCTGAAAATGAATTTTCAAAGCTGCATCAAAGCTGTTCAGTTGATGTATTTCAAATAATCGAATTGGATAGATACCTTCATCCTCGGAAACATCCAAAATCTCATCTACTGTCTCAGGAAAACTCATCCGATGCTTCTCTGTAGTGATCTGTGCAGAGGAGGAGGTTGCGGGAAAGAGGTACGGCAGAGATAGAGGAAGTAGTGGAACGGAGAAGAAAGAGAGAACAAGGAAAACATTGAGTTACTTTGCAAAGTGCATGAGGGAGTTGAGCCTCATCAAGACAAGACTGTTTTGATTAACATATGAGTCGTGCTGTGTAAGGGCTACTTCTCTGCATATCGGAGTAACCATGTGAACCATGCGTGATGTATTACTCACCACGGAGACAGACTCCTCGGTAACCAGCTTCAGCACATCAATGACAGAGATGTAACCCAGCCGCTTAGCAATGCCCAGGGGAGAGGTCCCATTCTGTACAGAGAAAGATAAGAAACACCGCACCAAAGTAACTGCAAAAATATATATGTAGTATATTATTATGGACATTGTCATAAATTACTAGATAAGTACATTGAAAATGTGAATTGAATATTTTCTTATTTTTATGAAGTTATGTCACTGATGCCATTTGAATCATGTCAGGTGTGTTACAAATGGCCAAAATGTACAGTTTGTCACGTAATCTATCAGATGTGTGTATTTTTCCCCACAGATACCAGTGTGCTGATCAGAGGCAATGCCCGGTGTTGAGAGGAAGATTATAACAGGATAAAGCATTCCCCAGTCTCTCACCATAGTAATCTCATTGGGCTGGGCTCCGTGTTTTAACAAGAGGGTGACAATATCTGTATGCCCCTGCTGAGCTGCCTGGTGCAGAGGGGTGTAGCCCATCTGCAAAAGTGAGAGAGGATGGTCAGACAAAGCAAAAACACAGAGAAAGTACCTAATGCTAATACCAGTGCTGTGCCAGCTAGTCTGCTCATACTCAGGGTGGTTAAACAGTTTTTTTGATAAACCACCTTAGTACTAACACCACGCCTCAAACAAAAACACACAACTAGTCACCAGGCCCATAGGCATAGTCGAAAATAGTCATATACTGAATACAGTACAAGTAAGATAGATCGGATACCCTCGTCTTGCTGTTCACATGAACCTGCTGCTGCAGAAGGAACTTCACAATCTTGATGTTGCCATAGTGACAGGCCACATGAAGGGGGGTGTAGCCCATCTGAGATGAGGCGAGACAGACATCTGGCTGTTGCTCAGTGGCTTCAAGAACAGGCAGCTTGCATCTTGTGTAAACATGAGTAAACTCCGCATGCACAGATGTAGGGCTGCTGTTGTTGTCTTAAAGATATGTGATAAATTTCACATAAAGTTTGAATGTATTAGACATAGACTAGCTGATGTGACAAAGCCACATGTAGCAAATTAAATTAACCCATTCAAGCTAATAATACTTATTTAACCATTCTGTGTATCAATAGAGGGGTGGCGTCTTACTCGTGAAGCAGCGTAAACAGAAGCTCCCTGTTTGACCAATGTGTCAGCAATACCCACATGACCCTCCTGAGCTACAAGATGTAGAGGGGTCAGTCCATTCTGAAAGACAGAAATAAATGACGAGTGAAATGAGCATATATATATATAGATATATCCACTTTGTTGAATATCTACAAAGTAGAGATGAAAAGCTAGGTCAAACTTCGATAATAATATACCTTATTTCCCAGATTTACGTTGGCATGTTTGGAGATGAGCAGAGCCACCATGTCGGGCCGTCCCTCCTGTGAAGCCAGGTGTAGGGGCGTGATGCCTTGGAGGGACTCTGCATTAGGTGATGCCCCGTTCTGCAGCAGGCAACTGGCCACTTCAATCTGGTTCTGCTTGGCCGCTATGTGCAGGGGAGTGTAGCCATTCTGTAAGAGAGCGACAAGGACGTACAGTCACAGACAAGAGTGGGCCTCACTTTTCTTAGATTAAAACTCAAATGTACTGAACCGATGAGTGTGAACGAGTGTTCCAGAGGACAAAGACTATCATCAAAGTTACTG